CACACACACACACACACACACACACACACACACACACACAGGGATTCACGTGCCAGCAGCCATGTGTGGGCCGGCTTGTGGACCTGCTTGGGCTGAACAGGCTGTGAAGTTTGAGACCCCTGCTCTAGGCAACACCGGAGTCCTGTTTGCTAGGACTCGGCTCTCAGCGCTAGCCCATGCAAAGGTGCCATCAGACCACAACGGATGCAGTTGATGGGTGATTGGGGGGCGGGGGAGGATCGTTAGCCCATTACCCAGCAAGGTCAGAGCTTTGACAGTTGTGAAGCTCAGTTCTTTCCCCCAATCTCCTTCTGTCTCCTTCTCAAATTGCCAAGGCCTGTCTCCTCCCAGCCGCCCCTCCCCTCCCACATCTCTCCCAGATAAACAAGCACAGCAGAGAATCAGAACTGGTCGAGCCTGGGGTCCCACATAAAAGCTGATGGGAGAGATTTTTTCGGCAGGGGTGCAGCATCTCAAAGCCGTCGGCATGGGAATGGCCCCCGGGAGGGGTGGCGATCGCATGGGAAATAGGCAGGAACCTATCATATTTGTATGACAGCAGCACCTCGAGGCCCAGGCTGAGCTCAGGCCCTGTTGTGCCAGGGGTTGTACAGATTCTAAAGAGCCAAGTCCTGCGTGGAAGAGCCTACAATGGAAATACACAGGCCAGACACACAAAAAATCCACCTTCTCAGTTTACAGGTGGAAGTTTGAGCACAGAAGGACAAATACGCCCAGGCAATGTTCCCTCTAATTTTTTCCACCCCTGTGTGGAACACATTTTGTTACGTGCACCAAGGCATGTGCAGATGTGCACCACCAGTAGAATCACATGCCTCCAGTTATAGGTTCTTTGCCCGACTCAGCAAATCTCTCTTGGGTGGTTGCCCACGCGCTCAACTTGTAGGGAACAGTTACCTCAGAGCTCAGCTCCTGCTACGTTTGTGCCTGGATTTGCCGTAAAACTCAGCATTCATTTAGAGGCAGCGGTGACCCTTAAACCAGTTACTTCAGCCAATGCACTCAGCTTTTTAGATGACCCCTCTGCATATCCTCCCCTAGATAGATTCATGGAGGCTAGGTCCATCAATGACTATTAGCCAGGATGGGTAGAAATGGTGTCCCTGGCCTCTGTTTCTCTGGAAATGGGTGACAGGGGAGGGATCACATGAGGATTGCCTGTTGTGTTCCCTCCCTCTGGGGCATCTGGTACTGGCCACTGTTGGCAGACAGGACACTGGGCTAGATGGGTCTTTGGTCTGATCCAGTACGGCCGTTCTTATGTAATCCAAACCTTCTGCACCCCTTCTCCAGCCCCCGTAGACCTTCCCAGTCACTGCATCTCCTCGTATGCCCCACCTCCGTGTCAACTCCCTCCCAGGCCTTGCACCCCAATTCACTGTCCTTGGTTACAGCCCAAATCCCTGAAACCCTCCTGCACTCCTTCCCCGGGTTACAACCTCCTCCCAGACCCTGTACCCTGTCCTGCATTCC